GCAATTCTCTTGGCCGGAGAACACTGAATTCACGTGGTCCCTCTTGGCCAAATTGCTTTTTTATTGGCCTTTAGCCAATTACGGCAGCAGAGAAGTGCCAGCTGTATTTTGTTGGCTGGCTGTACCATATTATAAAGAGATATCTTACAGAGGGAATCTACTATTTATAAATATTCTCTTTTATGCCTTAGAAGAAAGTTGTTGGTTTCCACATATAAAACGCTATCTTCAAACAGTAAGAAAGTAAAGAGCTTAGTCAGAGAAAAGCCTTTTATCTGTACTCAGAAGCTCTGGATCTTTCGCTGGACATGTTGACTCAGAAAATCTAATCAGGGTTTAAACATTTTAAAAAGCAAATTGGGGATTCTTTTTTGCTTCCCATATCACACCTTCTTTCCCTGTTTTTGTTTTGTTTTTAATCTCAGGAAATAGTACCACCTTAAACCTGCACATGATAAAATATAGGAAATCTCCTTGATTTGCCTTCTCTCCCTCCCGCAACACCCTCTTCACATTCACCTGTGCCTCAAGATGATAAAATTGCCAAACAGTTGCTTTAAAGACACATCGTTCTAATGCAGTGGGGGTGATTTGGACAATCTTAGAGACACTTTTGGTTGTCACATTCAGGTTCAGCTTGCTACTGGCATCTAGTGGTTAGAGGGCAGGAATGCCCCTGAAAACTCGACAATTCACAGGACAGCCTCTCTTTCTACCCCCTACCCCCAACAATGAATTATCCAGTGCAAAATGTCAATAGTGCCACTGCTGAGAAATTCATATCCACTATAAGAATAAAGCCAGTATCATTAAAATTATTTATTCATAATCACTATAATGTTTTCATTCACCTTGTCCTTAGAATTAATTATTCTTACTTTCTACTTCAAATACTGCAAGCTTTCACTGAATATACACTTTGTATACGTAAATCAGATCATCCTTTCCTAGTTTTTTACAATATGAGGAAGGATAGACTCATCCCAAAGCATCTTGGGCATCTTGGGTTCTGATTATGCCCAAAAAGGGGTTCTGAAGAGACATGAAAATATTTCCAAAATTTACAATGAGAGTTTCATTTCAAGATGGCAAATTTAATTGAAGATTTTCATTTTCTTGCTTTGAAATTGCTGTGGATATAACTCAATAAATATCAAAATAAGAAAAACGTTTATATTAGCAATGGCAACAGGAAGTTAGGATTCTTTGGCTCAACACTTCGAGGACAGTGTGGTGGAGATAAATTGAGATTGAAGGAAATATCAACTTGTCCCCGAGTCAGCACAGATAAGTAGGAAGACAGTGGGAAGGGTGAGTCCTACAGACTCCCGATCCAGGCAAGGATTGGAGACAGGCAGCTTTGGCTAGTTCAAAGGTCTTTGGCAGTGGCATCAGCGCCCCATCCGCGGAATACTTACTTCCGGTGTGTGTCCCATACTTTTCCTTGCATGATCCACTAGATTAGTCAGTGTACTGTCAACTATCTGTTTTAACAACCCCACAGCCTCAGTCATCTCAGTAGTGCAACGCCACAACGTGTTTTGTAGTGGTGCAGTTCTGGTTTTGCTTTAGAGTACGTGAGGGTGTGCGTGTTTGATGTCTCAGTCCTAGGCAGATCAGGTGGCTCTTCTAGGCAGCTCATCTCCAAAGGTGACTCAGGGACTTGAGTATTTTCCATTGTTGGCTCTGTCATCTCAGCGTCCCTTACTTCCTGACTCAGAAATGAGAAAAAGAAATGACACGAAAAGATCTAGGAGGAGATTTAGGTAATGGCCCAAGAGTGGCATACATCATTTTCTATATTCTATAATCCAGAGCTAGTCATATTGTCCCAGAAGAACTGTAAGGTAGGCTGCAAAATGAGATCTTCCAGTCTGTTCCCAAGGAGAAAATGGGATGGGTGAGCATCGGCAGGTCTCTACCTACATGACATACCAAAATTAAGTGGGGC